AAACGTGACATCAATAATAGGCACATAAGAATCACTAATAATCGATATAATAAGAAGCCACCTTGACGAGTATAATTTGATTAACATGTCTCAACACGGACATTAGACCTCAGTGCGCTGACGTCTGATAGCCGGACTAAACTCTCAAAACTCCAGCCCGTCGCGTTAGTTTTGAGACTCTATGACCGCGGGTTCAATCCCGGCCGGGGGTATGGTTTATTTGCAATCGTGTCATTACGATTTCTTGAGTCATGAAGCCGGACTAAGATGAAACAAAAATAAGATCAGATTTTGGCCCTGTATTGTTCATAATTTACATTAGTGACTTTAATGAGGGAATAAAAAGTGACACGAAAAGTAGACCGACTAATTTATTCGTTGGAGGAACAAATATACGAGTATGAAGAGATTGGTTTGAGAAGGAACTTGCTTAGGCTAATAAGCCCACCGCAGTGCTTCTCCTTTTTCATGTTACGACAGAATTCAATAGATATGAGAAAACACCCTCTGCAAAATCTGTAAGAATCCACTTTGAAATTTCTGTAAGAAAACAGAATTTGTAACGTATGCGGGATTTGCTCAAAAGTACAAATATTATTTTACTTCTGCAGGAAGAGAACGAGTTTTACAAGCAGCCAATGTTCTATGCTATTGGTCATTTGAGCAAGTTTGTGGCTCCTGGTTCTAATCGTATGGCTTCGTTAACTACGGCGACTGATCTGCAGGTGGTCGCCTTCAATGTGGAGTCAGGCCGCGCCCTCGCTGTTATCCTCAACATGTAAGCAACACCACTTTGTACCATTATATTAATGGTATGCAGACCTAAGGAGTAGATGAGTAAGACGCATGTGTAACACTTGGTGTCGTTATTACTGAAACGTTCCGTGTACGCAGCAGACTTATTCAGTCGAATGCAGAGGTGGCTTTTTGTACTAGAGGAAGAGGAGAAGAAATTTTAAAATGCTCATTCCCTTGGCCTTGATAAAAGACGTTCATATCCTTAACCTGGATTGAAGACTAAGCGACTGAACATCTCTCAAGGCTAAATGACCGAACACCTATTAGTCTCTTAGCCTCCTCTTCCTTTGAGGCTAAGAGACTGAACACCTATCAAGGTTAAGGGGTTGAAAATCTGTTAAAGTCAAGGGACTTAGCACCTTAAATTACCTCTCCACTCCACTCCACTCCACAGCATAAAAGTCACCTCTGTATTCGACTGATGAAGCTTGCTGTGCAGGCAATAAACTACCCAAGTGTTGAACATATCTTATTCGACACTAATTTGTTTCGTCTTTTGGTTTCAAGTTTTTTAATTAGCCTACCTTGTGCTAATATTAGTGTGCAAGGTCTTATGCCAGTCGACTTGACTTGGGTCATTAGGACGGCTGTTCACCTAGACAGTAGCATCAACTATAATATAATTCCGTACGGTAGGGGTTATAGTTAACTCAGTGTGTATCCATCTTGGTATATATAAACAGTAAGAAGATATGAAGGTATCTGTAATTGGCAGTCAACCCTGAGAGCTCTTCTTAAAACTGTCTGCCAACAATTGGCAAAAGTTCCACATATGGATGTCGAACGTATTCATTTGTATTCATAATTAGTATGCTCGTCTTAAAAACAGTTAGCAGCGTTGATGTATATACTACTGCCTTCTATCCGTGCGAATATTCTGATGTGTTTGCTTCGTTTCAGTTCATAGGTACTGTTACAAAATATTCATTTGCATATTCATCTCCCTTAAAGGGAGGAGCCCTTGTACCCATTATCTCCCCTTTATCCCCTCTTTCCTTGGAAAGATCTTTATAGCTTCCCATTTCTAAGCCACTATTTGATAATTAAGACACATGTGCAGCAAGTAGGTATCTTTATTCCGAAAAGTATCGAGTACACAGTAGGTGTCTTCAGTCGGATACAGAGCAGACATCAGAAGCAGTAAAGATGATATAATCAGTCCAGCCTCCATCGACGAAGTAGTTTTGAGGTGGTCAGTCCCTCAGCTTGGAGAAGGGTTCAGCTCCATGGTCTGAAACGTTTCAGAATCAAGATACCTAATTGTTGCACATGTATCTTCTTTATTTATCGGTAGTAAATAACATTATTATATCCGTATGCGCTATATGATCCCTAATTGTTTAGCGCTTCCCTTGATCAAAATGAAAAAAATATATATATATATTTTCCTCTTATACTAATTTTAACAATAATTTTATGGCACCTGATTTCTGACAACAGCTTTTGTAGATTAATCATTTTATTATTCAACGAAAATGACAGCATTTAAATGTATAAATAACTTAATGTTTTTGACCACAGGGCTGAAGAGGAAAGGAATGTGACAGTGAGAGATGGATCTGAGTTTTATCTCAACTTCGCGATACCTGCTAAAGCCATCCAAACAATCCTGTACTAGCACCTTCACCACCGAACCTGACCAAGATCTCTCAGCGAATTAATCTAACGGATGATTATATATATATATATATATATATATATATATATATATATATATATATATATATATATATATATATATATATATATATATATATATATATATATATATATATATATATAATATATATAATATATATATATATATATATATTATTTAATTGGCTAGCTTCAAAAGTGTTCCAGGAATGATCAACTATGACCTGAGTTTTAAACGGGATGAGATAGAATTGTTAAGTAAATAACGCAACACAATCCAGTCTTTTTTTTTTTGTCCTATTGATAAACTTAATGAGAAAAATTATCTGTCAAACAAAGACAGAAACAGACATACACATTTATATATATATATATATATATTTATATATATATATATATATATATATATATATATATATATATATATATATATTATATATATATATATATTTTATTATATAAATATATATATGTGAACAGTATTTAGATAAAGGTAGGGAAGTTTTTATTGCATTTATGGATTTAGAAAAGGCATATGATAGAGTGGATAGAGGAGCAATGTGGCAGATGTTGCAAGTATATGGAATAGGTGGTAAGTTACTAAATGCTGTAAAGAGCTTTTATGAGGATAGTGAGGCTCAGGTTAGGGTGTGTAGAAGAGAGGGAGACTACTTCCCGGTAAAAGTAGGTCTTAGACAGGGATGTGTAATGTCACCATGGTTGTTTAATATATTTATAGATGGGGTTGTAAAAGAAGTAAATGCTAGGGTGTTCGGGAGAGGGGTGGGATTAAATTATGGGGAATCAAATTCAAAATGGAATTGACACAGCTACTTTTTGCTGATGATACTGTGCTTATGGGAGATTCTAAAGAAAAATTGCAAAGGTTAGTGGATGAGTTTGGGAATGTGTGTAAAGGTAGAAAGTTGAAAGTGAACATAGAAAAGAGTAAGGTGATGAGGGTATCAAATGATTTAGATAAAGAAAAATTGGATATCAAATTGGGGAGGAGGAGTATGGAAGAAGTGAATGTTTTCAGATACTTGGGAGTTGACGTGTCGGCGGATGGATTTATGAAGGATGAGGTTAATCATAGAATTGATGAGGGAAAAAAGGTGAGTGGTGCGTTGAGGTATATGTGGAGTCAAAAAACGTTATCTATGGAGGCAAAGAAGGGTATGTATGAAAGTATAGTAGTACCAACACTCTTATATGGATGTGAAGCTTGGGTGGTAAATGCAGCAGCGAGGAGATGGTTGGAGGCAGTGGAGATGTCCTGTCTAAGGGCAATGTGTGGTGTAAATATTATGCAGAAAATTCGGAGTGTGGAAATTAGGAGAAGGTGTGGAGTTAATAAAAGCATTAGTCAGAGGGCAGAAGAGGGGTTGTTGAGGTGGTTTGGTCATTTAGAGAGAATGGATCAAAGTAGAATGACATGGAAAGCATATAAATCTATAGGGGAAGGAAAGAGGGGTAGGGGTCGTCCTCGAAAGGGTTGGAAAGAGGGGTTAAAGGAGGTTTTGTGGGTGAGGGGCTTGGACTTCCAGCAAGCGTGCATGAGCGTGTTAGATAGGAGTGAATGGAGACGAATGATACTTGGGACCTGACGATCTGTTGGAGTGTGAGCAGGGTAATATTTAGTGAAGGGATTAAGGGAAACCGGTTATTTTCATATAGTCGGACTTGAGTCCTGGAAATGGGAAGTACAATGCCTGCACTTTAAAGGAGGGGTTTGGGATATTGGCAGTTTGGAGGGATATGTTGTGTATCTCTATACGTATATGCTTCTAAACTGTTGTATTCTGAGCACCTCTGCAAAAGCAGTGATAATGTGTGAGTGTGGTGAAAGTGTTGAATGATGATGAAAATATTTTCTTTTTGGGGATTTTTTTTTTTTTTTGGGTCACCCTGCCTCGGTGGGAGACGACCGACTTGTTGAAAAAAAAAAAAAATTATATATATATATATAATATATATATATATTATATATATATATATATATATATATATATAATATATAATATATATATATATATATATATATTATATACATGAATGAAACCACGAAACAAGTGGTTATGAATCATTTACCAAACTGCGGCAGGCCAGGAATTGACCCCACGACGCATTGTCCCGCCTCATGAGGCCACACAATGTGCATGTCACCTTACCAACTGAGCCGTCGATCCTACAAGCAACATGAGCCTAGCGAACTAGGCTTGTTTTGTGTTGCGAGAACACTCGTGGCAGTATGTTCATGGATTAATTTCAGCCTCTTCCTGTTTGAATACCCGCTTCCACAAACAATCTACATAGCAATGAAACTACGAGACAAGTGGCTTCAGGCAGGAAGAGGCTAAAATTAATCCTTGACTATACAACTGCCACTAGTGTCCTTGCAACATGAAACAAGCCTGCTTCGCTAGGCTCATGCTGTTTGTTGGATCGATGGCTCAGTTGGTAAGGTGACATGTACATTGTGTGGTCTCATGAGCCGGGACAATGTGTGGTGGGGTCGAATCCTGGCCTGCCGCAGTTTGGTAAATAATATATATATATTGACCAATACCACTTGTTCATGGTCACAATAATTATATATATATATATATATATATATATATATATATATATATTTATATATATATATATATATATATATATATATTATATATATATATATATATATATATATAATATATATATATATAATATATATATATATATATATATATATATATATATATATAGGAGAGTTTCAGTGGGGGGAAATAAATGGGATTAAATCTGGAGTATCTGAGAGAGTTAGAGCAAGGAAGGGGTAGCAGTAATGTTAAATGATCAGTTATGGAAGGAGAAAAGAGAATATGAATGTGTAAATTCAAGAATTATGTGGATTAAAGTAAAGGTTGGATGCGAGAAGTGGGTCATAATAAGCGTGTATGCACCTGGAGAAGAGGGGAATGCAGAGGAGAGAGAGAGATTTTGGGAGATGTTAAGTGAATGTATAGGAGCCTTTGAACCAAGTGAGAGAGTAATTGTGGTAGGGGACTTGAATGCTAAAGTAGGAAAAAGTTTTAGAGAGGGTGTGGTAGGTAAGTTTGGGGTGCCAGGTGTAAATGATAATGGGAGCCCTTTGATTGAACTTTGTATAGAAAGGGGTTTTAGTTATAGGTAATACATTTTTTTAAGAAAAAAAGGATAAATAAGTATACACGATATGATGTAGGGCGAAATGACAGTAGTTTGTTGGATTATGTATTGGTAGATAAAAGACTGTTGAGTAGACTTCAGGATGTACATGTTTATAGAGGGGCCACAGATATATCAGATCACTTTCTAGTTGTAGCTACACTGAGAGTAAAAGGTAGATGGGATACAAGGAGAATAGAAGCATCAGGGAAGAGAGAGGTGAAGGTTTATAAACTAAAAGAGGAGGCAGTTAGGGTAAGATATAAACAGCTATTGGAGGATAGATGGGCTAATGAGAGATAGGCAATGGGGTCGAAGAGGTATGGGTAGGTTTAAAAATGTAGTGTTAGAGTGTTCAGCAGAAGTTTGTGGTTACAGGAAAGTGGGTGCAGGAGGGAAGAGGAGCGATTGGTGGAATGATGATGTAAAGAGAGTAGTAAGGGAGAAAAAGTTAGCATATGAGAAGTTTTTACAAAGTAGAAGTGATGCAAGGAGGGAAGAGTATATGGAGAAAAAGAGAGAAGTTAAGAGAGTGGTGAAGCAATGTAAAAAGAGAGCAAATGAGAGAGTGGGTGAGATGTTATCAACAAATTTTGTTGAAAATAAGAAAAATTTTGGAGTGAGATTAACAAGTTAAGAAAGCCTAGAGAACAAATGGATTTGTCAGTTAAAATAGGAGAGGAGAGTTATTAAATGGAGAGTTAGAGGTATTGGGAAGATGGAAGGAATATTTTGAGGAATTGTTAAATGTTGATGAAGATAGGGAAGCTGTGATTTCGTGTATAGGGCAAGGAGGAATAACATCTTGTAGGAGTGAGGAAGAGCCAGTTGTGAGTGTGGGGGAAGTTCGTGAGGCAGTAGGTAAAATGAAAGGGGGTAAGGCAGCCGGGATTGATGGGATAAAGATAGAAATGTTAAAAGCAGGTGGGGATATAGTTTTGGAGGGGTTGGTGCAATTATTTAATAAATGTATGGAAGAGGGTAAGGTACCTAGGGATTGGCAGAGAGCATGCATAGTTCCTTTGTATAAAGGCAAAGGGGATAAAAAAGAGTGCAAAAATTATAGGGGGATAAGTCTGTTGAGTGTACCTGGTAAAGTGTATGGTAGAGTTATAATTGAAAGAATTAAGAGTAAGACGGAGAATAGGATGGGCATAAACAAGGAGGCTTTGGGAAAAGGTGGGTGTGTGGACCAGGTGTTTACAGTGAAACAAAAAGGGTGAACAGTATTTAGATAAGGCTAAAGAGGTCTTTGGCAATTTAGGATTTGGAAAAGGCGATGACAGGGTGGTAGGGGCATGGGCAGATGGGGCAATGTATGGTTAAGGTAGGTTACGAAAGCAATGAAGATTTTACGAGGATAGTAGGTTTCAAGTTAGAGTATGGTAGGAAAGAGGAAATTTTTCCCAGTAAAAGTGGGCCTAACAAGGATGTGATGTCACCGTGTTGTTTAATATATTATGGTGGTTGTAAAAGTAAACGGGGTCGCAAGAGCGTGAGTTAAAGATAAAGAATCACACACAAATGGGAGTTGTCACAGCGCTCTTTGCTGTTTGACACGTCCTTGGAGATTCTGAAGAGAAGTTGCAGAGTTGGTGGATAAATTGGGTAGGGGTGCAAAAGAAAAAAATTTAAAAGGTGAATACAGGAAAGAGTAAGGTTATGAGGTAAACAAAAAGTTTAGGTAAATGAAAGTTTGAATATCATTGGAGGAGAGATATGGGGAGTGAAAAAAATTCAGAATTTGGGAGGGACTGTCAGCGGATGGCTATGAAAGATGAGGTGAATCATAGAATTGAGAGGGAAAAAGAGTGAGGGTGCACTTAGGATCTGTGGAACAAAAAACATTGTCCTTGGAGCAAAGAGGGAATTAAA